GCAGTGTGAGAGACACAGCACACACAGCGCTGCCTGTCCCCCTGTCTCTCTGCTGGAGCAGCTGTTTCCTGCTCCGCTGCCCTGCGCTTCGTCAGAGGTTATCTCCCTGCGCCACTCAGCACCCCCACACAGGCGGGCAGGAAGAGAAACCCCCCCACACACACACACACAGCCCCCTCCGCAGCCAGCGCAGGAAGACACACACACACACAGCTGCCCCTGTCACTTGTAGGAGCTGGGAGCCCCGCACACGGGAGAGCAGACACCGACCCCACAGGGCCCCACTCAGACGCTCGCGCGGGTCCGCTCAAGCCCAGCGGTCAGTCCCCACCGTCCACAGCGGCCGGACTGCTGGGAGAAGCGAGACTTTGGGGTCTCGGACAGAGAGGCGACCCGAGAACGCCTGCCCAGCCGGATTTCGACAGAGCGAGGAGACGCGCACGGGCCGGGCCCCGCGGGGGAGCGCCGTTCACTCTGCGCCGAGGGTGGTGGGAGCGTGGAACACGGCAGGCCTGAGCAGGGCGGGAGGCACACAGACGGGCAGACCGACCTCGGCTGATGCGCTGCTTCTCTCCTGACAGGATGCCCGGCGTGTCGATGATGCTGATGCTCTCCAGCACAGGGTTGGGCATCTGGGCGCACATGAACCTGGGGCAGAGGAGAGAGGGGGGTTAGCGCAGAGCAGGGCAGGACGTGCACGCACACACGCGCGCGCACACGCGCACACACAGCGGAGAGGAAATGAAACAGCAGTGTTTTGAAAGACTGAGCTGTGTTTCGCTCGCGGTCTGACGGAGGAACAGGGCCTGGAAGCTGACCTCACCGGTGACCCCGACCCCCCCGGCCGCCACACAAACCACTCGCCCCCCCCCCCCTTCTCAAACTTCCCCAAACTGCTGCCCGGCGAGCCCCGTCCCAGGCCTGCTGAGCGCCCCTGGGGGAGACCGCACGCTCGCTCCGCAGACTCCGGGGAAACGACCAGCCTGATCCGCTCCTGGCTTTACCAGCGGACCTGAACACCGCCCCCCGGCCGGGCCAGGACCCCGACCGCGACCCCCGCGATCCGCACTCCCACAGCCCGCGGTATCCCAGCGTCCTCCAGCCGGCGCTCCGGGCCGCTCCGAAGCTGCTCCCCTCCCCCGCGGCCCGGCTGTCCTTCACGCCTCTCTCCTCCCGGAGCGCTGAGCCACTCTTTCCAGGCGCGGAGCAGGTGGGTTTTCCAGAGAGAGAGAGAAAGCCCGGCTTGTCTTTCCACTCCCCTCCCCCGGCAGCTGTCAGGGAGGGAGGGGGGGAGGGAGACGGCGCGGAGAGGCACAGGCAGAGAGGACCCGAGCCCAGCCCAGCCCAGCCCAGCCCGGCGCCCGGACCGAGGCTCCACGGGTCTCGCTAGTCTGAAACAGGCTGCTGCTGTCTTACTGGTCTGCTGTCCCTGAACACACCAGATAGCACCCTGAGCGTGTCGGGGGTCGGCTGCCCCTGAACACACCAGCCAGCACCCTGAGCGTGTCGGGGG